GAACTATGGTTCTTTAGTCTGGGAACTATGATCCTTTAGTCTGAGAACTATGGTTCTTTAGTCTGAGAACTATGGTTCTTTAGTCTGAGAACTATGGTCCTTTAGTCTGAGAACTACGGTCCTTTAGTCTGAGAACTATAGTCCTTTAGTCTGGGAACTATGGTCATTTAGTCTGGGAACTATGGTCCTTTAGTCTGAGAACTATGGTTATTTAGTCTGGGAACTATGGTCCTTCAGTCTGAGAACTATGGTTCTTTAGTCTGAGAACTATGGTTCTTTAGTCTGGGAACTATGATCCTTTAGTCTGAGAACTATGGTTCTTTAGTCTGGGAACTATGGTTCTTTAGTCTGAGAACTATGGTCCTTTAGTCTGAGAACTATGGTTCTTTAGTCTGAGAACTATGGTCCTTTAGTCTGAGAACTATGGTTCTTTAGTCTGAGAACTATGGTCCTTTAGTCTGAGAATTATGGTTCTTTAGTCTGAGAACTATGGTTCTTTAGTCTGAGAACTATGGTTCTTTAGTCTGAGAACTATGGTCCTTTAGTCTGAGAACAATGGTTCTTTAGTCTGAGAACTATGGTCCTTTAGTCAGAACTATGGTTCTTTAGTCTGAGAATTAAATCCTTTAGTCTGAGAACTGTGGTCCTTTAGTCTGAGAACTATGGTTCTTTAGTCTGAGAACTATGGTTCTGTAGTCTGAGAACTATGGTTCTGTAGTCTGAGAATTAAATCCTTTAGTCTGAGAACTGTGGTCCTTTAGTCTGTTTCTTCTAGGTGAGAACGATTCTAAAGTTTGATTACCACAATTTTATCTGAGTAAAATAAAGGTTTGAGTTTTCCTGAGCTGTTTTGACAAAACTACAAATTTTGCTAAGGACATCAAAGCTAGCCCATCATTGAATTCCTCAACATACATTCACCCACTTTTTTGTAACTTTTGTAAGAGCTGGTAAACCCATACTGTTTTACAGAAGAAAAAAAAAATTTTTCATTTACAAATTCTTGTCTGTTCTTCATCTGCTTCCCTCAGTTGGTCCTCCTCCTCGATGGCCAGTAGCAACGTGACCAACAAAACAGATCCTCACTCTTTGAACTCCCGTGTCTTTATCGGCAACCTCAATACCCTGCTGGTCACCAAGGCCGACGTGGAGGCCATCTTTGCCAAGTACGGCAAGATAGTCGGCTGCTCCATCCACAAGGGTTACGCCTTTGTTCAGTACTCAAATGAGAGGAATGCCCGGGCAGCTGTGACTGGAGAGGACGGCCGCATGATTGTTGGACAGGTTTTAGGTGAGGACCAGTAGTTTTCGAGACAGAGACAATTCCCAGTGGGCTAGAAAGTGAGGATGATATATTTTGTGGTGATAAGGTGGAGAAGAAAATTACACAAATGTTATTCAATATGAGACTTCTGGCTTAGGTGGGGAAGAATTGTTGAGTGTGTTTACACACAATTAGCTCAAGTCTACTACTTAAACCTACCTCACTATCTGTTCACTTTTACCAACTTAAACTGGTCCAACCCCTTTACATTCTCTCAATTTTAGATGACTAGAATAAACAAGTTTTTCTTATTTATTCATTATTGAGCAAAGGATTAGTTTTTTTTGTTTGTTTGTTTTTGCCTGGACCCCAAGACAGAAGATGGAGAAGAAGTCAAACACTCTGATCCCAGAATGTTTCTTTCAAGTAAATCTAATGAAATGTTGATTTAATTAACAAGTCTTAGAGCAATCTGGACCATCATCAAGACCATATTGTATGACTGTAATTCCTCATAAAACAGTAAACAGTACATTTCACTTTCTAAAGGACCTAGTAATGGAATAGTTGGGTTATTTACCTAAACTTGTCATAGATATGTTACAGAGGATAAAAACTAACGTTTCGACACACTCTGAACTAACTCATACAGAATGTCACAACCTACTCTGTAGTTTATTATGAATAAATTAAAATTTTATATTTTACAGAGTCGTTCGAAATATCAACCATATAATATAAATACTAAGYTGTCCCATGTTTTCTTGTTGGTGATTAAAGCCAGCAGTGAGGGTATGGGAGCTGGACCATGTGTTAGGAACTAGAGTCTGAGCAATTTGGAGTCTTAAAGTGCTTGTGACATACTCTTTTTGTAATACATTTGAATGAATTTTTGTAAACATAATCACAAATTTCTAAAGAAATAAGACTGTTGAAATAAATAGTAGCTGAAATACTGTATTTGCAAATGAAGAAACAGGAAGTGATGACAAAGGGGAATGTCTGCATGTGAACAGACCATTGCTACAACAACAAAGACTGTAGAGAAAGATCTGGGTCAGATTTATAGAGGATTGCGTGGAAACCATGTTAAAATGAACGTACGGCCAAAAGACGAAAATGGCGTACACAAAAAAAAATTTCAGATTTATAAAACCGTGCATACGAATGTTTCACCGCATTTTCCCTTTATAAATCACAGCTGTGCCTTATAATTTGCGCACAAGGTCCCACCTCAGGTACTACCCTCTACCAGT